CTGGGTCTGGGACTTGAACCATAGTCAACTATGTGAGAGTCCAGTAATGTAACTATTATGCCTTCTGCTGGTCCTAATTCAATTTTTTTTTTTTTTAATTTTTCAAGAGGTTTTTGCTATAGGGTGCGTGTGCTCACCAGAAAGATAGAGAGAGACAGAAAGTGAGAAATCATCCCCAGGGGGGATGGCGATGGCCATGCCTCAGTCCCTTCTCCTCCTTTCTCCTCTCAGGATCTTGGGCATGCACGCACACATGCCCGGCATGAATTTAAGCCACTGGTCCGGGACTCAAACCTTGGTCAACTACATGGGAATCCAGTGACATAGCCATTATGCCAGCTCTTGGTCCCAGCAATTCAATTTTTTTTAAAGAGATGTTAGCTATAGGGTGCATGTGCTTGCTAGAGAGACAGAGAATGTGAGAAATCACTCTCCAGGGGGTATGGCCATTTTGCAATCCCTTCTTTCTCTACTTGGGATTTTGGGCTTGCACACACACATGCCCAACATGAATTTTAAGCCAGCAGGTCTGGGACTTGAACCGTGGTCGACTACACGGGAGTCCAGCGACTTAACCATTATGCCATCTGCTGGCCCCTCAAATTTTTTTAAGGTTTTTGCCAAAAGGCTCATGCACTCACCAGAGAGACAGAGACAGTGAAGGCCAAAGTGAGCATTCCCCTCCTCAAGGCGGGTGACCATGCCCTAATCCCTTCTCTTCATGCCCCTTCTGGATTTGGGACATGCACACGCACATACCAGCATGAGTTCAAGCTGCTGGGTCTGGGACTCAAACTTGGGTTGGCCATGTGTGAGCCCAGCACGTTAACCACTATGCCACCTGTTAGCCCCTTTAATTCCATTTTTACAAAAGTTGCTGAAGCCCCCTCATATTGTAGATTTTCCACACTGGTACTTGGAGGATTTTGTCAGTTAGTTTGTTTTGTTTTGTTTTTTTAACCTATAATAAAATAAACATCAGGTTTTGTTTTTACTTTTTAAAGTTTGCCAGAGGGGGCCTGTGCCCACCAGACTCAGAAGAAGGAGGGAGAAATCACCCTGCGTGGGCATGCTCACACCACAATTCCTTCTCCGTTTCTGCGTCATTTCAGGATTGGGGGCATGTATGCACACGTGCTCAATGTGGTTTTTTTTTTTGTTTTTTTTTTTTGGTTTTTTGGAGAGATTTTCGCTGTAGGGCGCATGCGCTCGCCAGACAGACAGACAGAGAGAGACATAGAGACAGAAAGTGAGAGATCACCCCCCCAGGGGGGATGGCCACGCCGCAATCCCTTCTCCTCCATTCTCCTCTCGGGATCTTGGGCACGCACGCACACGCGCCCGGCGTGAGTTTTAAGCCACCGGGTCCGGGACACGAACCGCGGTCGACTACGTGGGAGTCCAGCGACATAGCCATTACGCTAACTGCTGGTTCCCCCCAATGTGTTTTTCAAGCCAGCAGATTCAGGACTCGAACCACTTGGTTAGCCATGTGGACTCTGGCTCCCTTAACCACCAGGCCATGGAACCAGCCTCACGTCATTATTTTTAAAACTGATCGTGGCTTATTAGGCATGAAGTCAATTTAGTGGGTCAAAGACAACCACACGCGCATGTGCCCAGGATCCCCCTGGCCGGGGGACGGGATCATGATGTCACCAGGCCCGGTGGGGGGTCCTTCCCTCTCTCTCTCTCTCTCTCTCTCTCTCTCTCTCTCTCTCTCTCTCTCTCTCACATGCTCTAGCACACACGCACTCTATCAGGAATAAAGGGGAAAAATTATAAATATCTTTAAAAAGGAAACGGAGGTGGGCACTTGGGCGTCATAATACCTTTCTGCTGGGGCCTATGTGCGATGTTTTCAAAAAGCTGAGTAAGAGTCCAGGTGCCTGCGGCAGTGCCCGGCACCGAGGAGGCTCTGAGCAGTGGGCCTCGTCGTTGAGACCCTCAGCCCCGTGGTTCCCTCCCACGCTGTCTAGCCACCTCTGGGTGTAGCCCTCTAGGTCTGGGCTTGGGGCCACCTCTCAAGCTGTCCTGTGCTGGGGGGTGTCGTGACCACAGAGACCCTGCAGGAGTACCTGAAGGTGGTGATGGCCCTCAAGTATGACGAGAAGCCGCCCTACACTGTCCTGAGGAACAGTCTGGAAAGCCTGCTGCAGGACCTGCGGGTGTCGCCCTACGACCCCGTTGACCTCCAGGTGGCGCCGTAGGTGGAACCCAGGTGGGAGACTTTGGGAGACCTGACTCCTCTCACCCTCTGCCCCAGCCCAGCCCTGCCCAAGGCTCTGAAGGACGGTCCCAGACGCTACTCCACGTTTAGACCAGGGCCCAGCCTCCAGTAAGACGCTGGATCTCCACAGTGCTCGGACACTGAGGAGTGGCGAGCAGGTACCGGCTGAGCATGGCCAGTCTTCCCGTGGGTGCTGGCCTGTCCTTCGGTGCCTTTGCGTCCATGCAGTACAACAGAAATTTTAAAACTTCAGACCTGATCGCTCCTGAGATCACGGTCATGTCAGGGCCTGTCAGGGCTTACTCCCTGAGACCCCTCAGTCAGCCCCAGATCTGTTCCTTGGTTAGGAGCTCAGTGAGAAGGCGTGGCCAGATGGTGGCGCAGCAGCAAACGCAGTGCTCCACGAGGCTGACCACGGGCGAGTTCTGGGACCACGGGTGGAGGCCTCTGCGCACACTGGGCACGCATGTGCCCACGATCGGGGCAGCTGAGGCTAGGGCAGAGGGCAGCCTCAGGACCCTCGGGGGAGGCCTGTCTCCGTCCCTTGTTCATGGAGGAAATAAACAAGTGAAAGGAGCCTGTGATCTTGAGCAACTTGAAACTTGTCTCGTCCTTGCGTCATGGCAGCTCCTCGCCTGGCCTGAGCGGCCCACCCTCCTCCCCTTGCTCCACAGTCCATGAAGTTCCAGCCACACCACCCTGGTCAAGCTCGATCCCACCCCAGCACCTCTGCGCCTGTCACTCCGACTCTTCTCCTTTGCTTTTTTAATTTAGATGCACTCACTAGAGAGAGAAACAGGCGGAAAGTGAAAAGTCACCTCCGGAGGGGTGGCAATTCTACAGTCTCTTCTCCGTTTCTCCTTTCAGGATTTTGGGCATACACACACCCACCCAGCATGCTTTCCCAAGCTGCCAGGTCCTGGACTTGAACTGCAGAGTCAACCACATGGGATCCAGCTCCTTACCGCCATGCCACCTGCTGCCTCCATCCCTTGCTTTTATGCAGTCGGCTCCTTGTCAACGCCCTGAGGTTTCCCCAGATCATCAGGAGGGAGCCTCACCACGCCCACCCACTCTAGTGGCGCCACCCGTCTTCTGCACAGCCTTCATTCCTGCGTGGAGAGGACTTTACTGTGTAGTCTCCTCCTCACTCCTGCTTGTCCCTCTCGTTCACGGCAGTGTCCCCGACATCCGGGTGGCATGTAACAGGGCAGAGGGTGCTCCTTGGATACGACACTAATGACCATCTCTGTTCTCTTGCAGAACTTGGAATTTGCAGTTTGAAATAGAAAAAGAAGTAATGCGACCCAAGGCCTGCTGTTTAATCACTGATAAGCTTCTAGAAAGATCCCTCGAATGTGCATTCCCGCCATTCCTTAGGTGACATGCGTCAGCCCCGACTAGCTTTAGCATCAGGACACCCAGCAGCTGCCCCAGGTAATGTGAAGTTCCTCCTCCGAGCAGTCCTTTCAGAGCACAGTCCTTTCAGCCCACCTCCCGCCAGAGCCGCCAGAGCCGCCAGAGGGCAGAAGAGAGTAGGGGAGACGGCAGCTCCCGGACAGTCAGGCCAGCTCCTTGGTGGGGACCCTTTCTACCCTTGGCATCACTCTGCTTTGATAATAAATTGTTTTATTGGAACTTGAGTCCAATGTCTGTAAAAGCTCTTTTTTAAAAGCTGATCTTCTTCCCTTCTTCCCTCCCCCCCCTACTCATCCCTCCCTCCTTCTTCCATCAACCACTCACTCCCCACTCATCTGCTCTGACTTTCATGCAAACGCCCTCCTACCCAGTCTTCTATTTATCCCAGCGGCCACCTCCTAGCCACCCACTTCCTTTGGATCTTTTGTTCGTCCCCATCTGCCCTTTAACCCAGAGTTCTGTGCACACACCCATTCACCCGTTCAGCCGGTTTTCCTCTTGTCCATCCACCCACCTCCCTCACCCTCGCACCCTCCACTCATTCGCCACTCACCCACCCGTCCCCCTTTAATTCATCCACCCAAGCTCTCCTGCACGCACCCATTCGCCCGTCGTCCACCCACCCCTTCCCTGGATGCCCTGTGAGTGGGACCGGGTCCTGGAGCAGGTGGAACCAGTGGTGGTTAAGGGTGCTGGCCTCTCACATGGCCGACTGCGGTTCAAGTCCCCGACCTGGCAGCTTGCTTCTCACTTTCCCTCTCTCTATCTCTGGTGAACACACACGCCCTACAGTAAATTAAATAATAGTAAAATTAAATAAAGAATTCTATTAAAGAAAGATGGAATGCCTCACCTCGACTAGTGATGCTTGGAGAGCCACGACCGGCGCCATTAACTTCATGGCAGCATGTTCAGAGCACGGCTCCCGTCACAAGAAGCATGTGTTCTCATCACTCAGGAGTGGGCAATGGATAGAACAGGCGAAAGAGGACCAGTAGGTGGTGTAGGGGCTAAGGCGCTGAACTCCCACGTGGTCAACCACAGTTCAAGTCTCGAACCCAGCAGCTTTGAAACATGCTGGGTGCATGTATGTGTGTGCTCAAAATCCTGAGAGGAGAATGGAGGAGAAGGGACAGTGGCATGGCCATCCTTCATGGAGGCTGTGATTTCTCACCTGTCTCACTCTTCAGCGAGTGCACATGCCCTATAGCAAAAAAAAAAATGTAAAAAAACGGTGTGATGTAATTGCTGCAGAAAGCGTTCTGATGTGCAGAGGCCCATGCACTGCAACTGCAAGGAATCTTAAAAACAAATCCTACAAAAAGACGAAACCTAAGAAGAACCAGATCACCAGGGAAGTAAAACTACAGCAGTGTGTGATTCAGATACTCGCGATGCGTTTCCAATGAAGATGAGCACAACACGTGTGTGTGTGTGTGAGGGAGTACACCGCTGGCTCCCGGGGAGCAGGCTAGGGGCTGGAGATGAGATGAACACGCAGGGTGTTCATGAGGGGTCAACACCATGCCGAGAGATCAGTCCCTATGGGGCGGAGGAAGCAGGTGGGGCGGAAGGGGAATCGAGCTGCCAGGCAGCCCAAGGACAGCCTCAGCAGACCCACACGGAAGCTCTGACGCTCTTAACTGGCGGGGCTGCACTGGAGCCAGTCCGGCTGGGACCGGGCCAGTGGGACAGGACGCCGACAGACCACTAGGTCTCCTGTCTCCGTGGAGAACTGGAGTAGTTGCCCGTCCTGAGCTCTGGGCCCTGCAGGTCTCAGCACTTGCAGATCTTGACCTCTGAGTACTCTGTGCTGCTGGTGGCCTTGGGGTCCCAAGGTTCCCGAGGCCCCGTAGAAGCTGAGGGAGGCGTAGTGGAGCTCCTCCCTTTCCCTGGAGGTGGGGTCAGCTGCAGTGGGAGGCAGGTGGTCTGGTCCAGAAGGCCTCCTGATGGGCAGTCCTGATGGGAGGCCTGAATGGAGAAGAGTGAAAGGGAGTGAGATTAGGAGGATGGGGCTGGGAGAAAGCAAAGCCCGCGAGCACACCTGGAAACCGAGGTTTAGCCTGTCGTCTTCCTTCCACGAACACTGCCTGGCCCTCTGTCATGACTGTGGCATGGTTTGGTTTGGTTTTAGAGATTTTTGGCTTAGGGGATGTGTACTCGCTGAACAGAGAGAGACAGAGACAGTGAGAGGGAAAGTGAGAAACTACCCCCTACGCTGCAATCCCTTCTCCAGTCTCGCCTGCAATCTTGGGCACACATTCTCACACGCCCCCGGTTTTCAAGTCACTGGTCTGGGGCTCTAGCTCCAGTCAGCCTTGTGGGAGTCCAGCAACATAACCACTACGCCACCTGCTGGCCCCATTACTGCGTTTTTTTAAGGTTTTTTTTTCCATGAAAGAGAGCGAGAACCTTCAGCGGAGCCCCGCTGTTACAGCCCCCAGGCTCAGCCAGCCCCAGGTCAGGAGCGAACGTGCACGGTGTGCCCGGGAGGTCTGATGTGCCCCGAGCCTTCTCGTGTGCGCAGCCACGCTGGCCGCCAAGTTCACTACTGCATGGCCAGCCACCCCATTCCCGTTCTCATTGCCTCCTGTATCAAGTATTCGAAAGTCACCACGCTGGACCTTTGGCAACTGATTGCCGGTCCATAAAATCCATTCAGCAGTCCACTGGGGAGACATGACTGTCCCCACATACCAGAGAAACAGAGGCAACGCACATGTCCCGAATCAGGCCAGCACTCTCATCCAGGTCCCTCTGACCCAGTGCTCACTGCCTGGCGGAACAGCCAGCCTCTGCCGCCCTGGGCACGTACAGGAAACCGCGCAGACGCCACCCCGGCCCTCGCGTGTGGCAGCAGGAGCAGACACTAAAGCAGCACTCAGTCAAGTTACTGTCCAGTCACACCGTGCCACAGGACCCTCAGGAAAGGGACAGGGTAAGGTCACATTCAGTAAAGCTCTTTGGACCACCCTCTGGCATCTCCAGGCCCGACAAGGACCCTGGACTTGTGCAGACCTGGCCTTGGCAGGTGCCACTGCTGCCAGTCACACCGATCCGGGGAACTGACACAAGGCCAGTTCCGAGAGGTCTGACTCCCCGGAGAGAGAACCGAAAGGCCACACAGTATTCACGTTCAGAACGTGCTTGCCCGCTGTGCCTCACTCCCCGCCCACGGCCACGCACCTGGCCTTCCAGAGCGGCTTCATCAGTGGCCCTGTGAAAGGACCCCCTTTCTGGCAGGTGGCAGAAGCACTCTGACTTCAGACCCCCGGGGGCTTTTGCTCAATGAGCTCTCATTCTCATGGAGACAACACCTGCGGGAGGGGAGCTCGCTGCTCACCTGGAAGACAGCCCTGCTCAGGCCTGCGCTGCCCTCAGGAAACACTCGGCATTTCGGAGGTGTGGACACTGAACACGACTAGGCCGGAGGTGAAGGCCGCTGGATCCCACAGGGCTGACAGCGCACTTGTGTCCTGGACCTGGCGGCTTGAAAACCACGCCAGGCCTGTGAGCACACGTGCCAAAGGCCCGAGAGGGGAATGAAGGAGAAGGGATTGTGGGGTAGCCATCCTTCCTCGGGGGCACTTCCTCATGCTCGCTCGCTCTCTCCAGCGAGTGCACACGCCCTATAGCAAAAAATTAAACACACGCACACACACTCAGGAAACTGAGGCCAAGGAACGAGGTGCCATGCAGTGAGGACACTCGCTTTGCCCAAAGGTTCAGCTCCGTGCCCAGCCCTGGGAGGATGCTCCAGCTCCAGCGTTGGACCATCTGCCTACTGGAAGTATGATTCCCTGGGAAGGGCAGAGCCTATGCTGACGACGCTTTGTGGTGGGGCCTGGGCCCAGTGGTGTGCGTTTGGCACTGGAGGGGCTGAGTCCGTCACGCGGCTGCTCCAGGCCCGTGGGCCGGCCCCAGTAACACTTGACACCAAGGCGCGGTGAGCTGCCTGGGATGGCAGTCCACCAGCAGCGTTGGCGCCTGTGATTACTGCCCGTGACCACTGCGAGAGGACAGCTGGGCGCTCCTGCCTGGTCCCCTCCGCTGTGACCAACGGCGACTGTCCGTGCGGCAGCCTCGGTGAGCGCCGTGAGGCCGCCCAGCACGCTATCGCACAGTAACACTTGACACCAAGGCGCGGTGAGCTGCCTGGGATGGCAGTCCACCAGCAGCGTTGGCGCCTGTGATTACTGCCCGTGACCACTGCGAGAGGACAGCTGGGCGCTCCTGCCTGGTCCCCTCCGCTGTGACCAACGGCGACTGTCCGTGCGGCAGCCTCGGTGAGCGCCGTGAGGCCGCCCAGCACGCTATCGCACCCAGGAGTGCCGTGCGGCAGCCTCGGTGAGCGCCGTGAGGCTCCCAGCACGCTATCACACCAGGAGTGGACTCGGGGACCCCCACGCTGGCAACTGGTGTCAGAAGTGAGGCTAGGCTTGAGGCGGTGGTTAAGGGCGCTGGACTCCCACGTGGCCGACAGAGGTTCAAGTCCCGGACCTGGTGGCTTGCTTTCTCACTTTCCCTCCCTTTTTTGCTCTCTCTCACCCTGTCCCTCTCTGGTCAAATTGAAATAAATAAATAAGTTAAATAAATAATTTTATAAAATGTTTTTTTAAAGGGAGGCTTATAACTACAGATGAAAGCATGTAGCAAAAAAGTTCAAGGTAGTAACAGGAAGGCCACAGATAATAATAATAAAACAAAGTCCCGAGGACTCCTGAGCTTGGGAGAGCTCTCTGGCATCTTGTGTTGGAGAAGGGGGACGGGAAGGAGAGGAGGGGCCGGGGCCTGGGGAGGAATGAGGCGGCGGGAAGAGAAAGGTCTAGTTGGAGCTGGACACAGGCGGTAGAGGGCCAGGCCTGGGTGAGCATCTGGGAGAGGAGTGCGGAGGGGAGGGTCGCAGGCCTGGGGGACTGTACTTACAGGGACCAGGAGCAAGAGGCTATTTGGGGCATGACAACTCTTAAGTCACGAAGGAGGATGTGGCCTGGCCCTCCTGGGAGGTGATCAATGGGACCCCGGTGGACAGAGGGCTCATCACTCCCACAGGAGACAGGGCCAGGACATAGGGGGTGTCCTGCTCCGTGGCTGCTGGCTGGGTGGCCTCCCTCCTGCAGGTCTTCATTCTAAGGGAGGAGGCCAGAAACTTGAAGCCTCCAGCTTGGGGTAGGACTGTGGTCGGGGTTGGTCCTCTGCTTAGGAGACCCCAGAGGCCGAGCTGGGGGGAGGGGCGGCATAGCTAATCAGGAGACGCCCTAAGGAGAAGGGATGACCCTTCCTGGATGACTGGGGCGCCAAGGCCCAGTGCCCACCACCCCTGCCCTGTCCAGTCCTCCAGCCTTTTGCAGCCAACGAAGGACACTCACCGGAAGACCAGGCAGAGACCAAGAGTGAGCGCGACAGGGACACCAGCCCCCCAAGGTGAGAGCACCCAGGAAGAAGCCTCCCCCAAGCTCCGACTTCCCTGCGCACGAGCCTGGTTTGGGGTGATGCCCCTCTGGGCCTCCAGACCCTGCGCCCTTCTCCCTGCACAGCGGGACAGCCGGCCGCCCACACCCTTCCAGGCCCGCCTTGCCTCCAACCACAAGCTTTATCTTCTCTGGCTTCAAGTCTCCTTTTTCCCTAACCTCAGCACCTGACAGGCCTGACCTGTGAGCAGCAGGACAGCCAGGCTCTGCACCCCATGGGCGTTCCAGGCCTCGCAGCTGAGTCTGAGGTCCGGAGGC